TTTTTTTTTTTTTTTTTTCCTTCGACATCCAGTCTTGGAGGCTCGCCACACAGGCTGTCGAATGTCGAAAATTTTTGACAGGTGTCAGTAATTTTTCGACAGCCCGGCAGTCGACGATTTTGCCCCCTATCGCCACACAGCCTGTCGAGAGGCGAAATTGTAGAAAGTAGGCAAGTCTACACCGCCTTTCTACAGGTGCTGTGTGGCGAAGGCGGTCGCCTGTCGGGAGTTGTTACACGGACAAATTGGTGCATGCAAGCGGACCAGATGCAGACACCGTTTTCGACAGCCACTGTTGACTAGGCAGTTTTCGACAGCCACTGTTGACTACATACGGACAAACAGGCCATGGCTGTGAGGGAGCAGTCGCTGACATGAAAGGTGGGCGGGCCGCAGGCCACTGTCGAATTTCCGTCACCTGCAGGCTGGAGGAAACGGTTGCTGGAGGGCGGCTGTCAAAAGTGCCATCCTGACACCTGTCGAAAGTTTTTCGAGCCACAATTCTTCGAAAGTCTGTGTGGCTATGCAAAATTGTCGAAAACCGGGTTTTCCACAGCCTGTGTGGCGAGCCTCTTGGACATACGGTGTGGCGAAGGGGGTCATTGTGTCAAAACGGCGAAAGTCCAAAATGGTCTGACAGGGGTCGAATATTTCACCGTCGACACTGGTGTGGCGAGGCGCCACACAGGCTGTCGAAACGTGCAAAACGAGAATGAACTCCACGCTAGAACATGGCCAGATGCACCTGCCACATTTTTGTCGTTTTCGCGTTTAGACAGGCTGTGTGGCGAGGCCCTAAGCTGTTAAGCGGGCTGATGCAGTCAGTAGCTGATGCAGTCAGTACCCTCCGGGGGCGTGGTACCACTAGCAAAGAGGATAGGATCGAATGCCTGAATCTGGACGAGGTTGTGGAGATGTGCAGCAAATCGAGATTGAACTGCTTTTCTGCATCTCTGCATAAAACACATCCAGATTCAGGAGCTCGATCCTATCCTTTTTGCTAGTGGGACCTCGGCCCCGGTGGAATTTTGAGGTACCTGGCCTCGTAGTCAGGAGTTGGAATTACAACAAAAAAAAAAAAAAAAAAGAAGAAGAAAAAGGAGAAGAAGGAAGGCACTCAAGGGCCTCGCTACACCGCACAACACTCTGAACGCATCTGGACGTACCATCAATTAGCGTGCATTCAGGAAGTACTGTCAGTCCGAACGCATATGAGCAATGTCTCAGTCCAGGTACATCTCGAATGTTGTGTTGTGCAGCGAGGCGAGTAGCCGGCTCGAAATGGAACCGAGGACGAAATTTATAAGCGTGATTTTTTTTTAAGTCTGTGTTTATTGCAAAAGGCAAGCAATTGAGAGGCACATTTGTTTTGCTGCGAAAAAAAAGAAAAGAAAAAAAAGTGTGAATTTTTTATAGAAAAAAAAAAGACAAAAGAAAAAGAAAGAAAGAGAAATGGAATCGAGGAGGAAATGTTGGCACGCATCAGCGTTCAGCTCGATCTCCGCTAATGTCGCAGTCAGAGAAAGCAGAGCACTGAACCTGGTCAGTTGTTGCGCCAGGTTCGTCGCTCAGCTTGTTGCCCCGAAAGCGACCACGTTGGTGATAGAGCTGGAAGAGGAGGTTCTAGATTATTAGCATGCATGGGCTGTGGCCAGGGACGACCAGTCCACGCTCGCCAGTCAGAAACGATACAGTGCATCGGCCCGTCTTTGCAGTCAGATACATCACGGCGCATCGGTCCGTGTTTGCAGTCAAAAACAAAAAAAACAGCACAATGCATCGGGCTCTGATCTCTGTCGGGAACATCGCAGCGCGTTGGCCGCGTAAAAAACGCTAACAAGGACCACCGACCTTGCCTGCACAGCCATCTGCTCCATCAACTCGTGCACGACCCTACACAATTAAATAGCTTATCATTAACTCCGAAGCAAAGCGTAGACCCAATCAATCAAACCAATCAAACCAATCAAACCAATCAACAAATCGATCAATCGATTAATAATCGATAAAAACCAAATCGATCAATCGATTAATAATCGATCAAACCAAATCGATCAGTCGATTAATGCATCCATCCATTCATCGATCAGATGATCGGTCCAGACAACGGGATCGTGATGCCCATGATGTCTTTTCGATTATGCATGCCAATGCATGAATGACATAGGCTCTGCTTGTCCGCCCCTATGACTCACATCATTCCGTGCCCCATTCTCTCTCTCTCTCTCTCTCTCTCTCTCTCTCTCTCTCTCTCTCTCTCTCTCTCTCTCTCTCTCTCTCTCTCTCTCTCTCTCTCTCTCTCTCTCTCTCTCTCTCTCTCTCTCTGTGTGTCTGTCTGTTTGCACGTGTCTATGTCGCTGTTGTGTGTCTACGAGCGTCAGTGAGTGAGTGCGTGCATGTGTTAATGTATGTATGTGTGTGTGTGCGTGCATGTGTTAATGTATGTGTGTGTGTGTGTGTGTGCGTGCATGTGTTAATGTATGTGTGTGTGTGCATGTGTGTCTGTGTGTGTGTGTCGTCATGTCATGTCTGCTATATACAACTCCACAAACAAAGCATGACTTTGCCGTGCTGTTTCGTCCGACTTTCACCATGTCATCAGGGGGTTGAACCTGACCTGACCGTCTGCCCAAGATGCATTTGGTTGAACCTGACCTGACCGTCTGCCCAAGATGCATTTCCCTGACGGATACGGGCTCTCCACGTCGCCAAAAGTTAGCAGCACATTTGAGAAAGAAAAGTGATCGGCGTTATCGCGTCAGCCCCGAAAAAAATCCCCACGCGAACCCCTGACAAGATTGGCATTAAATATGTGTGTGTGTGTGTGTGCGTGTGTGTACGTGTGTACGTGTGCATGTGTGCATGCGTGCATGTGTGTATGTGTGCGTTTGCGTGGGTGGCAATGCATCTGGTCGGCATGCGGGTCTCAATACTGTCACAGCAAGGGATGGACATATGACAGTCTAACTTTACCGCCATGCGATTTTTCTTTCCAATATTCAAGATTGATTGATTGATTAATTGATTGATTGATTGATTGGTTGATTGATTGATTGCCATCGATCCGACGGGTGATTAGGTCCCATCGTGTGTATACATGAACCAGGCACCGAGCCTGGAACCTGCCGGCCAACTTCTTGCCGACCCATCCCTGCGTCGGAGTGGGCATTTGCGTTTTTGTCCTCACATTTCGTTCCGCAATGCCCCTCCCTCTCCTGCAGGGCGCCCTGCTACTGGCAGTCGCGCACTTCACCTGCGCAGCCGACCGCCTACTTCACACCACGGATCCGATAAACCACGATCCCGCAAGAGTAATGGAGCGACGAATCGCAGCGCAATCCGCGGGCCTGCTCGCGTGCGTGTATGAGGCGCCAATGTGTGGAACTGTGCGGCTGCGCTGTGGGGGGGTCTGTGTGTGCGTGTGTGCGGGCTGCATGCGCGTCGAGCGCACACAGTGTGTACGAGTTTGAATGTAGGTCGGCCGGTGAGAGGAAGGGCGGGCTGCATGCGCGTCGAGCGCACACAGTGTGTACGAGTTTGAATGTAGGTCGGCCGGTGAGAGGAAGGGCGGCGGAGAGGGAGGAGTGCAAGCAAGGG